TGCCGTTGATCATACGAATACGTCACTTCGTGTGACGGTGAAGCGCCTTGCGTCGTTGGAAACGGAAATTGTTGCACTCCGCTCAGAACCAGTTGTTAGTTCAGCTTATAGATGGCCAAGCGCCTTTGATAACCGCTCCGGTGCCAACGCTTCTGCGTTCACTTGCGCCGGATCCCGGTACGGCTTAAGCAAGCCCACAAAAAAACGCCGGGTGGGTGCGCGTTCTCTTCGGAAGGTTCAGCGTATACGCAAGTCCTCGTTTAGCCACGACCTCAAAAAGTCCATACACCGGAAACGAAGCTTTGTTTGAAAGACAGCAGAGACTACATGTGTAGGAAGTCTTCTAGCATTTAATGAAACCAGGTGTTTGACCTTAACTTTTTCACATTTCTTCTGCTTCTTCCGTCTGCATATTCTTTCTGTATGTCTTGCCTTTCGTCCATCGCATCGCGAACGTGTCGTAGGACACTCAGACTGGTAGGCAGGAAGTCATCGACTTCTTTCAGAACAGTGACGGGGCTGACATCAGCTCGCTGTTTGGCTATTCCTCCGCCACCAAGCCCTGAGCCATAGGATGGTGGCGTCGGCGGGACGCGAGGATAAACAAGCCCGTTCACGTAGAACGACGTGGAGCCGGTTTATGAATGCACTGCCTTATTCAGAGCAGACTCTACGTGTGGCAACATGGCGCTCCAGCGCCTCGGTGTCTCATCGCAGACGCTGCGAAGAATGTCTTCAACGACGCGACTTACGCGCTCAGTCTAGCCATCGTTCTGCAGATGGTTCGCTTAACATGGTGCCCAGCACCCTGAAGATTCTAGACCGAAATTTCGGGTCTCAAACTGAGACAATTGACTCCGGGAGTCCACTCTGTCGAAAGACACGACCACCAAACAGCATTGCTGTACCCACACTGTCGATGGTGTCCGGATGAGCCATCTTGATCAAACGGTCAGCAAAGACCACCACACCCGTGTTGATCGCCGAGTCCTTCGGCAGGCTAAACACAAAGGCCATACTCACTGGCTAGTTTACCAACACCCGGAGGGTACCGGTAAACTAGCCAGCGGCGCCGCCGCATTCGGAGAAGTTTCGCTCTTGACACGTCTCCCACGTGCGCACATATGTGGTCGTTCATTCGAACCGCTTGAACCACCAATATTGGCGACTCACTGAGCTGTACGTCTTCTCACGACCGAGATGACCACTGAGTGGGGTGTCGTGGGCCTCAT